CCTGAGTTCAATCCCCTGTTCTGCCAAAAAAAAAAAAGAATCATAAAACTTTCTGTTATTTTATAAGTCTTCATGCTTTTCAGATATTTTGACATTAATTTTAATGTGAAAAATAAAAAAGGAAAAATAACTCAGCGAACTAAAGTGCCACAAACAGGTGCAGGGACTGGGGGTTCGATCCCCAGGCCTGCGGTGCTGGCCCCACTCCTGGGGCACGCTGAGATGGCAATTGAGACTGGGTGTGGTGGTGTACACCTGTAATCCCAGCTCTTGGGAGACTGTAAACAGGTAGATCACTAGGAGTCCAATCTAGTAGTGAGACCCTTGAACACCCTGTAGACCCTTCCCTAAAATAAAAAAATAAAAATTTATTGTGAAGTAGAACTACAGAATTTTAACAGTAGGTTTTTTACTAGTTATCTCTCATTTTGAAGTTGTGAAACTTGAGACCTTTAAAGACTGTAAACTACTTATTCTATGTAACAGATACTTAGTAGTGAAGCAAAGTCTAGAGCCCAGGACTTCATGTTGTTCTTTCTATTGCAGGTTTCTATCGCCTTTATCTCCTTTATCTGAAATGTATGAAACTAGAATTGTTTCAGATTTTTTATTTTATTTTATTTATTTGTGTGTGTGGGGGGGGCAGTTCAGCCCAGCAGGGGGCGGGGCTGGCTGGCATGTGGTGCTGGGGGATTGAACCGCGGTCCCTGGGCTTTGCTAAGCTTGTTCTAAGTAGGTGCTTTAGACCACTGAGCCATCTCACCAGCCCCTGTTTCAGATTTTTGTGTGTGTGGTGTGTGTGTGTACAGGGAAGGTGTTTGCATGTACAGGATGAGATATCTTGGGAATGGGCCCAAGTATAAGCATGAAATTCATTATATGCTTCATACACACTTCATACACATAACCTGAAGGTAATTTTATACAATATTTTTAGTGCATTTAATGTCATGATGATAGTTTATTAGGTGAAAAGAATTACAGAATTTTTCACTTTTAATATTTTGAAAGCCCAGAAAGTTTTGGATTGTGGGACACTTTAAATGTCATGTTTTTATTTGGGAGGATCAACTTACATAAGATCAGTCTACAGAATTTGGAAATGATTGTAGAATAAAGAAGTCCTGGGGCTGGTGAGATGGCTCAGTGGTCTAAAGCACCTACTTAGAACAAGCTTAGCAAAGCACAGGGACCGCGGTTCAATCCCCCAGCACCACATGCCAGCCAGCCGCGCTCCCTGGTGGGCTGAGCTGGCCACACACACACACACACACACACACACACAAAACAAATAAATAAATAAATAAATAAATAAATAAAATTAAAAAAAAAAAGAAGTCCTGTACTCATGATAATACTGATAATCTTGTTTCTTTGTAGTTGTTTTGTATATTAAAATATTTTTGAAGTCATGAGTCAGAAAAAGACTCGAATAATAGTTTCAATTATTATTTGTAAAAGGTGGAAATCCTAGGAAGTTAGGTGAGTTTTTTTGAGACAGGATCTCACTATGTATTCCAGGCCGGCCTCTAGCTCACTAGCATCTTCTTCCTATGCCTCTTGTGTGCTAAGATTGTAAGTGTAGGGGCAGGGGAGATAGCTCAGAGGCATAAGTGCCTTCCTGGGAAGCCCAAGGTCCCAAGTTTGATCCCGGTACTGCCAGAAAGAGAAACAAGTGTGTACCACTATACCCAGCCTAGAAAATGCTTTTTTAAATAATTAAAAGTTAAGTATTATAAGCCAGCTGTGGTGATACAGGCATGACCCAGCACTCTTGGAGGCTGAGGCAGGAAAAGAAAACATTTGAGTCCTGCCTGGGCAGCACAGTGGCTTGATAAGGCTCTCTCAAAAACAATAAAAGGACCAAGGCTATAGCTCAGTGTGAGGGCCTTTGGTTCAATTGCCAATATTGGAAAAAGAGGGAAGAGCTTTTAAAATGATAGATAAAAATAGAAGCATCTTTATTATTGACCTGGTATTTCTTTAACAAGTACACTTGGCACTGAATATTTTTTAAGTCATTAAATCATTATTACTTAAGCCTTGTTTAGTGTTCTTGTTTATTTTGCCATACTGAATGATAATCATTTAGTAGGTAGCATTATAATGAGTAATCATTATGACCCCAGTAGTGGTAGTGGTAATCATTTAGTCGGTAGTGTTAGATAGTTGCTAGTGACTGGTCATTAATCTTACACAAAATGTGAACATTTTCTACCAAATTATGGACAATGCCAGTTATCCTGACAGCCTAGAATGACTCCTAGGGCCCCCTTCAGTACCTCTTATAACCACTGGTGAGTACTTAATCTGTCTGCTGATAAGTTAATAGAATGAACCAAATGTTTTATTTTTAGAATGTCTGAGAACCCAAATCAAAAGCTACTTTAAAAATTATTTTTATCTGGGCATGGTGGTTTATACCTGTAATCTCAGCACTAGGGAAGCTGAGGCAGGAGGATTGCTCTAGGTTTGAGATTGTGTAACAAATTCAAGGACAGCTGAACCTAGATAATGAAAATGTGTCAAGAAACAAAGCAGAAAAACTTTTTTAAAAAATTATTTATTTGTGTGTGTGTGTGTGTGTG